CTCTTGCGGTCAAATCAGTAGGGGAAAAAGTCGCGGAAAGGAAGGGAGGCGGAAATATCGCTCTCGTTAAGATTCGTTGTTGGGGTATACATGGAATGAGCGTAGCAGTTTGCGGTTGAATAATCAATCCAAGTTGGGAAGTCGTTCATGGGCAACATTTGTGCCGCTGAGAATTCGGTGTTGTCGAACACCGCCGAGGGAATGGAGAGATTCGGTTGGGAGTAAAGATAGTAGTCCGGTTGGAGTTGGGGCGGATCTTGAGGATACGAGGAGTAGTAGGAAGGGAGCGAATCAGGCGAGATCTGAATTGGGGACAAAGGGGAGCAGTCGAACTTGTAGACGATGGAGCATTGAGGCCGATTCACATGATCCACGGGGACGCCAACTTTCATAATGTCCTGAACGATAGTATATTGTCGGAGATCTAATCATGAAGAATTAATTTCCAACATTAAGAAGTAACGACGGCTTTAAAGTACAAACCTGAAGCTTTGCTTGCGAGAGTGGCCCAATAGTTGGGAATGAGGCTGGTCCTGTAGAGCATCGGCATGTCGCCTGACACAGTAGAAACGCGTTCGATTTTGGTGACCTCCTTGTAGAAAGCATTGCCGTTGACGTCGTGCACAGCGAAAAAGGTCTCATACTCCGAGTTGGGCGAGAGCATCGAGGCGCTGAAGACGATAGTGGGAACAAATGCCCAAACGGGGCGTGGGGCAAGAACTGTTATTCTGCGCTGCCAATTCATGGGAGAGTCGGACAAACGAGACTCATCGAGGTCCAGCGTGAACGTCGCGGGTTGTACCCCTGTCCAAGGCTGATGCATCCAGTTGGACGGAAGATCGACTTCGTATGGCTTTAAGTCGACGTGGACGAGATGCCGAGGACAGACGCTCTGCGTGATTGTGGAGTTACTGGAGGATCCCTGGTCGTGATCCGGGAAGCCAGAAGACGTCGGTGAGGTGCAAGGAGAACTCGAGTAAAGTGTCGATGAGTCCGGAGAGAGAGTGCTCATCGACGAATTACTTCCCAGAGGGGGAGGGCGCTTCTTCTGTAGATCCGGAGCAGGAGCGTCCTGCTTGAGCTGGGAAACTTTAGGCGGTAGGTCAGGAAATTCCTTCGATTGTATGAGAGTCAGAACTAACATGTAAAACGGTTATGTTCAGATGACACAGTCGAAAGATTTACGAGACTTACTGTCCTCCGATGTGCAAGTTTCGCGTAGTTGCTGGAGACGACTCCCGACTTGTTTGGGAGTTCGCCGTTTGCCTGTAACCTTGAATATGTAGTTGGATATGAACGCGTTACGCTTGGGAAACCGAAGTAATTTCTGGGGAGCCTTGCTCGAAGTAGGGCGATAAATTGTCAGAGCTGAAAAAGGGCGATGTTATCATCCTAATTGAAGCCTAGAAGCGACGTATATACCTTCAAGGAGCGCCGTTTCTAAAAAATCAGGCCAAACGGCCTCCTTCTCTCGCGGAGACTGTTTATAAGAATGCCTGCCGGTACCCTTGACCTTTTTTCCATGATGGGGGCTAGTGTGGTCGTGTGGACGTGAGAAGTCCGACATAGACGAGGTCGAAAACAGGCTAGGAGTCAAAAGGACGCCATCTCCTGAAGAACTCGAGTCGGACATGGGGCGATGGGGGGTGAGATAACTATAGAGGTGTGCAAAGTTGAGAAGGTCGCGAGGTGGGTACAAAAACGACGCGTTCGCGATCTCATATAGGTGGGGGGCTCAAATCGGGGGAAAACGATCTAGGAAATCTCCATAAACCCAATCGGCGATCCCAAAGGCAATCAACACGACACGAACGCATCCTATTGGCTCCTATTGGACCCTCACCGAGAAAGAAACAAGGTTGACTTTGGCTAAATTGAGGTCAGCTTGTCCTGATATGGGAACCTGCCTTCAAAAGCTTTGGCCTCGCAGCCTCACGGGGTTAAGGTACGACCGATTGAGGAATTGCGCCAGGCTGGAATTCCCTCAATCACTGCCAAAAAGTCTTTTTTTTTTCAAAAAAAATGGCGGTAATCGAAGGCCCGAGCGGTCGACACATCTTCAACCCGAAGGGACTGGAGCCAACACTCGATCCAATCAGACCCAAACTATGAGGAAGTAAAATTGCGCTCTCGGTGAATAGTTTAGATTCCGACACACCCGCATTGTGCTGCTTGACGAATCTAGAAATTTGTTGAAATCCTGGAATTCCCATGCGACGCACACCAGGGGAATCAACAAAGCCTGGGAATGGAGCTTTTTAGACTTCAAAATATTCCAATGGATTAAGTATTAGGGGAGATCTCATTTTGCTGCGGCGTTGAAGGCAATCAAGATCAAGAAAAATCGCAGAGTGCTGGAGAAGCCAAAGGTACTAGTAACCATATTGATTGTCGGTGTTATTGGTTGTTAGCTTTCGGAGCTGCCCGTCATCAGTCCTTGATACTGCAAGCTTGACTATAATCCTGCTATAAAGATGGATCCATTAGCTGGAATGGATGATTCTTCCACAGACGACGATACCGCGTCCCAAACCACTGAGGATGACCCGCAGGTCCCTGACAATCAAACATCGGCGCCACCTCCACCACCAGTCTTGCCGCCACCTCCTCCACCCGTCTCGACGACGGCCGTGCAACGCGAAAAACCCCATTATCAACTGCGACATACGCTCCGAGGTCACACAATGTCCATCTCGGCAGTCAAATTCAGCCCAGACGGGAAATTATTGGCCTCTTGTGGTCAGTAGAAATCAAATGTTGCATTCTTTTTAGACTTGGTTTATGTATGTATGTCTCATTCTTGGTACCTCAACAGGAGCCGAAAAGGTGGTGAAGATCTGGTCTCCGGAGACCGGAGAGTTTTTGAGGAATCTGTCTGGACACACGCAAGGGCTCTCTGACATCGCTTGGTCGTTCGATAGTGTGTACCTTGCCTCGGCCTCGGATGATACCACAATTCGCATCTGGGACGTAGAATCCGTGAGTGGCAAGAGGTTTTGCGGAAGGTAGAGATAAGGAATCTGCCGAATCAGAGGGGGTGCCAGGGGGTGCCGAGGTACCATCAGAATACGTTAATATTCTGCGGCGTGCGCTCGCCTCGCTAGTTCTCACGATGCATATAGGGGTTTCGCCAATAGTGACTATGACTCCGATATGAGGCCCTGAGGTGAGGTGAGTTTTTTCAGTAAACGTTCTCTTCACGGATCCTGAAGCTTGACTCTCCAAACCAACCAGTGGATATGTCACCAGAAGAATTAGCACCCAAGAACTCCGAAAGCTCTCAAGCAAAGCGTGTATTTCCACCGTTATATGTATCTCAAGGAAGCGAAAGAGCAGATAGACTCGCGTTCATTCACGTCCTCGAGAGATTGAAGGTACTGCACGGGTTCACTTGTGTGATTAGGATGCCTTGGCTCAAGGGGAGGCTATTATAGACGCAAAAACGGACAGGATGGGTGAACAATGACGTGCGCCTGTTCTCCTTTGGTTTTCGCTCATTCAGGTTTCAATATCGCATAGATTCCCAATCCTGAGAGGTGCATACTACATGCTGTCGATCCAAGAACTTTTTCCTTGACTGACTCGAGCTCGTTCCAAGTATATCCGACCACATGTACCGGATGGCTATCCTGTGCATGTTATCGACGGATGCCCAGCTGGACATCTCAAAGTGGGTTCCTCACCATCCAATGACGCGAGTACTTATTACTTATATTCGGATAGATGCGTGATGATGGCTCTGGTACATGATCTCGCCGAAGCTCAAGGTACCTTCTCTCTCTCCCCTTCTCTCTTTTGTTCCTCTTCTCATGTTACCCAAATTTTAAGTCGGAGACATCGCACCAAGAGAAGGTATACCAAAAGCCGAGAAACATCGTCTTGAAGCGGTCTGTCCTACCTTCCTTCTTTCATCTCACATGAGATTGATGCGATACACGTGCAGGAAGCAATGCATAACTTCGTTTACGAGATGCTACATGAAAGTCCGGCGGCGCAACGAATAGACGCGCTGTGGAGGGTAAGCTTTTGTTTACCTTTCTAAAATGTGCAACTCAAGTCTATGGATGTTAATTGAATCTAGGAATATGAAGCGGGTGAAACGGCTGAAGCCAAGTTCGTCAAAGGCGTGTTGCTCTGCTTTCTTCACGCACCCCAACACTAACATGGGGATACGGTTACAGACCTTGACCGGTTTGAAATGGCATCCCAGGCGCTAGAATATGAACGAAACCACAACAAGGACCTCCAACCTTTCTTTGACAGCAGCTTGCCAAATATTCGGCATCCCGAAATCAAGTCCTGGGGAGAAGATCTGCTCGTCGAACGAGAAGAGTTGCACCAGAAAGGCCTTCAACATCATATACACCTTACATCTTGATCAAATAGATCATTCATAAAAACAACCAAAATAACACAAATACATTCCCTTGTTTCCTCTGTTTAGCTCGTCCCCACTTTACCCTTTAATTAATGATGGAACAACCTCAACGACGTATGCGCAAACACAATCCCATGCTCATCCGCCGCCTTGACGCACTCCTCATCCATAACACTCCCACTCGGCGCCGCAAGGTACCTCACCCCGCTCTTCCGTGCACGATGCACATTATCCGGGAACGGGAAGAACGCATCGCTAGAACACGCAACCCCATCCAACTTACTCGCCCACTCCTTCTTTTCCTCCTCCTCCAACGCTAACACCTCGCCCTCGAACAAGGACTCCCACTGTTCCTTCTCCCCGCCCTCCAGCACTTCTCCGCTGACGAACAGGTCAATGGCGTTGGCCTTCTCTGCGCGTTTTACTCCTTTTTTGAAGGGGAGAGCGAGGACGCGTGGGTGATGGCGGAGCCACCAGAGATCGGCTTTCCCGCCTGCGAGACGGGTACAGTGGATGCGCGATTGTTGGCCTGCCCCGATGCCGATGATAGATCCATGAAAGGCGTATGCAACGCTGTTGGATTGTGTATATTTTAAAGCGAGTGTGGCGACGATGAGGTCTGTGACTGCGCTTGATGGGAGCTGGGGATGATTTCGTTAGTAAAGTGGATGAAGACAAAACAAATATTGACGGACCTCCTTGCTCTTGGTGACGATATTCTGGAAGAGGGAAGACTCGATCTTACAATCGTTCCTCCTTTGCTGGAGATGGATTCCGTACACCTGCTTCGTCTCGATGCTGGGAGGGACATAGTTTGGATCGATCTGCGTGCACTCATTTATATCCTTCCTGCCTCACAAAGAGGATGAGGCACTGACCTGAAGAACACAGTATTTCCCGGCCTTCTTCTTCTTCAACACGTCGAGCGCCTCATCGGCATATCCAGGCGCAATAATCCCATCGGACACTTCGCGCGAGATGATGCGTGCAGTAGCGAGGTCGCATGGAGCCGAAAGGGCGATAAAGTCGCCGAAGGAGGACATGCGATCCGCACCTGATTGGTTGGTTGGGTTTGGGTGAGCTCTACAAGGCAATGATGAGAAACGTACCTCGCGCTCTAGCATACGCAGAAGCAAGTGGAGTCAAAGGTTCCTTGAGGTCGTCGACTCCGTAAACTTTTTTCTCCGTCTCTGTGAGCTCGACGCCGACGGCCGCACCAGCCGGTGAGACGTGCTTGAAGGACGCGGCGGCCGGGAGATCAAGGGCTTCTTGGAGCTCTTTGACCAGAGCGTAGGAATTGAGCGCGTCGAGGAGGTTGATGTATCCAGGTGACCCGCTCAACACTGTCGAAGTTTGTCGAATCAGTACTCACATTCCAATTGAAATCAACCCACCTTTGAATGGAAGCTCCCCCTCAGTAACATACGCTTGCGCAG